ATCAACATATTTAGTCATTTTATATTATTTTATTTTAACATAATACAAGTTATTATCTAAATTTGACTTTAGGTGTGAAACTTTTTCAAAAATTTTTTATAGAAAGAGAATTCAAACTTAATTTTTATAAAAAAGATAAATTAATTTAGATATTTTAGAATCAAATAATCAAATAAAAAAAATATATTTTTAATACTATAAATTTTTTATACTTTCATATTTAGCTTATTAATAAGTATATCAATAATCTATTTGAATATTTGTATTTTTAAAATTTTTTTTTCAATTTAGTCCATGTACTATATATTTTTATTCACATTAGTTTCTATGACATGATAGATTTTTTAAAAATTTTTTAATTTACCATGTGGCGACATGTCAGTCTCACGTCAGCACTGTCACATCATCATGTATTACCACATGATATTGTCACATCATCACTTGGTGTCGTGTAGCATACCATATCATAATCTCAAACGTCGCGTCATTAAAAGTGATACGTCAACGTTGATGTCAACGATGACATTATCTTTTAACAAAAAAATTCGATGTTATTAAGAAGAAGACTAAATTGACATAATTTCTAAAATTAAAAGATTAAATTATTTTAATTTTAAGTATAAGTATTAAATTGAATAAAATTGAAAAGTATAAAAACTTGACAGGTCTTTTAACCGTTTTATAATTATGAAAGAAGTTTATAAGTTTTAATATTGTAATTTACAAAAACAAATGATAAAAATTTAGTCTATTTGTTCAAAACTGAACTGATCAAACTAATTCTATATTTGGTTGGTTTGATCTTCGTTTATATTTAGTCAATTTTAATCAATTTTTTAAAAATATTTGATCGATTTGATCTTTAGCTATGACATACCAAACCATCCAATTCATTCATTTGCTCATTATTATAACTCAAAAGCCCAATATGCTAATTAACACTTAAAGAGACAAATAAAAAATAAGAAGAGAGTTTATTCAAAAAGTTACTCATTTTGTGCAAAACATACAAACTAAATAGGTATCGCATTTGAGTTTAAAAAATTGTATTATCTTTCACTCTTGTACATAGAGAATGAAAATGAGATTCTTCTATAATTCTATTCAACCACCAAGAAAATAAGAATCAAATTGTCAATAAAATTTTTATATATCATCCAATTCTCATAAGTGTCTCTTTTATTGATTTTGAAGTGGTTCTTTCTATTTGATCCCTTAAAAATACTCGTTCCGCCTTTGATCGTATGTGGTAAATTACCTTCAAATAATAAGGCACCTTTGCTACAATAGTAATGAAAATTGATTGTTAGGTGCAAGGACAACAAGAATATGAGACAAACAATGGATCTCCCTTGGGTTTTCAAAGGCTGTACCAACCCCAAAGGTTTTAAGGTTTGAAAACGATATGCCTTGTTACGGACAATAGCAATGGCTAATGTTATTATATGTTTCTTTGTCATTTTAATTTAGTTTCTCTGTTTGGAGCCCACCAAGCTACATCACAAATTTCCTCCGCAAGTTTCAACCAGTCAGTTTCCTCCATTTATTGAATTTTTTCCTTTTTTTGATTAATACAATGTTTCTCAATTCAATCCTATCATTAATGACATTCTTCCAAAATCTTGTTCCTAATAATTTTGAAATAGTATCAAATTAAAGGAAAGAATAAAGTTAAAATAATCATTGTCTAATCTTGATAATTATATAAAATCACATCAGAATTAATTTTTGATTTTCCACAGCAAAACTTTTACGTAAATCAAGATTTTCTAATACGAAAATAACAAATAAAATCTAAAAAATATTCAATACAAAAATTTTGTATCTATACAAATTTTCAACCACAGAAGGGCTCAGCTGGGGTTTTTAGCCTCGATTTGAAGTATGGTCCGCCAAACAAAAAAACTGGGCTGGTTGACATTGGCGCAAGGAGGAGTCACCACGACCCAACAAAAAGCTGAGCACGACACCTGTCAACCTTCTAATCCACGTGTTCAAAAAAATGACGTGGCAAGCCAACAGTTATTGAACCGTACTTTAAACTCCTTAGCAAAAGTAACCTTTTAGATTTAAATCATAGTAAAATTAATAATTAAAAGTCAGATTGATATGCAAATTAGATCATTTTAGACTTAAAATATTTTTAAATTTAAATTTTTTTATAGTCTTCATCAATTCAAATTTAATATGAATATTTGGGCTAAAGTATGTGTCGTCACCGCTACAACTAGAGAAGTGCGATTCGTTATTCGACAACAATGCCGCCGGGCGGTCCAAGTTATCGTGACACCTTTCTCTTTCCCGATGCTTGGAATCATCGGCCTGATATAAATGACCGGGCGTCACCTCCCATTGGCAGTCATCGAATCAGACAGCGTACAACTAGCACATCATGATGCAGACGAACCTGAATTTTAGGATTGCTTTAAACTCCACTCCCTTACCGGCAGTTTCCGGTTTCCCGCTTTACTCCCCTTTATAAAGTAGTAATAAAATAATCCCATATCTCACTTTTCACCTAATAAAAAATCATCTAAGCCATTTCTCTCTTCCACTACTCTGCTCGCTTAGCTTTAAACATCTTTCTGTCTCTGCTCCTTCACTCTTTACACTCATGGGTAAGTAATCATATCCATTTCTTTTTAGAATTTAATCTTTTTTTTTTCGTCTAATCTACCTTATTTTTCCTTTTTCTTTTTGTTTGCATTGATTAACAGCGAAGGTGAAGATCGGAATCAACGGTACGTTGATCTTACGCTAAAATGATTTTATAAGTTTTTGTTTCGATCTTAAATTAAGAGCTAATTTAGTTTTTTTTTTCTTATTACAAATGAATAAAATTAGGATTCGGTAGGATCGGTAGATTGGTGGCTAGAGTTGCTCTGCAGAGGGACGATATTGAACTCGTCGCTGTTAATGATCCTTTTATCACTACTGATTACATGGTATCTCTTTTTCCTTTATTTGATCGTTTCTTATTGCTTATTTTAATTTACTACTAAGTTTTCATTTTTTTATGGCGGATTGTTATTTATTTGCTCTTTTTTTTTTGGATTATCGTTTTTCAGACATATATGTTTAGGTACGACAGTGTTCACGGTCCATGGAAGCATAACGAGCTCAAAGTCAAGGATTCAAAGACCCTTCTCTTTGGCGAGAAGCCAGTTACCGTTTTCGGTATTAGGTATGTAAATTTGCTCTTCAAATTTCAGGATGTTTTATTTTAACCTTTGTTTGTTAGTAAATATGATTGAGCACGGAGTGAACTGTGTTTTATGTAACTCTAGGAACCCAGAGGAGATCCCATGGGGTGAGACCGGAGCTGAATACATTGTTGAATCAACTGGAGTGTTCACTGACAAAGACAAAGCCGCTGCCCACTTGAAGGTAATTTTTTATTTGTTCGTTTGTCTTTGCATTTTGGATTTGTTTTGTGTTATTTTCCTGCATGATTTTTTTTTTTTGTTATTTAACTGTGAATGCCCTGTTGAATTTTTGGTTTGTTTCTTTGGAATATAGTTAGCAAAGCATAATGATGAATTTATTTATAACTCTTTAGGTGTATGGTAAGGTTCTTCACTTTGAATTGACTTAAACTTACACACGGATTATCTCACATGATGTTGGTTGATTGATTATCAGGGTGGCGCTAAGAAAGTAATCATCTCAGCCCCCAGCAAAGATGCTCCCATGTTTGTTGTGGGTGTTAATGAGAAGGAATACAAGCCAGAATACGACATTATTTCCAATGCTAGCTGCACCACTAACTGCCTTGCTCCCCTTGCTAAGGTTTATCTTTGATTGTTATTCTTGAGTGACTTAATCTTTACTATGATCTCAGTTGGCAACTGTTAATATTGCCTTGAATCACAGGTCATTCATGACAAATTCGGCATTGTTGAGGGTCTTATGACAACTGTTCATTCCATTACTGGTAAGTTTTCCAACTGAATTCTTACGCAGTTAGTTAACTTAGTCTGCTCTGTGTATTCATTGTGTTATTTCACTCTTACTCAGCCACACAAAAAACTGTGGATGGTCCATCAATGAAGGACTGGAGAGGAGGAAGAGCTGCTTCATTCAACATCATTCCTAGCAGTACTGGAGCTGCCAAGGTAAAAACTGTGTCAAGATTGTAGCTCAAAAGAGTTGATAAGCACTCTTTACTTTCATTTCATAATTATTATTCTTTTATTTTCTAGACATTGATTTCTGCTAAAAAGACTGTTGATTGCAAAACAGAAAGATAATTAGTTCAATGAAATCCCCTTTCCATAAGTATGCATGTAGGAAACAATTTTTTTTCAGTAGGTTAGATTGCTGTTCCTTGTTATCCTTCACATACCAACTTCCAATGCTAATATTTTTTGGGAATTCCGTTTTGTCACTAGGCTGTTGGCAAGGTGCTGCCTGCCTTGAATGGAAAATTAACTGGAATGGCTTTTCGTGTTCCCACTGTTGATGTCTCAGTGGTTGACCTCACAGTAAGACTTGAGAAGGCAGCTTCTTTTGAGGAAATCAAAGCTGCTATCAAGTAAGGAATTTCGTAGTTGTAGTTTAAACTGTGCTCTGTGCGCCACTTGAAGATATTCCTTTCCTATAATATTTAGGGTACATTTGTTTTGCAGAAAAGATAAAAATGAAATAACATAATTATTTTTTGAAAATAAAATAATTAGTATGTAATTTGTTAGGACGAACGAGTGAGAATAGTTATTATGACTTGTTGCAGTGTTTGATTGTTAAAAATAATTTTAACATAAGAAAAAAACAGAAAATAAAAAAATAAAAAACTATTTATATTTATTTTATTTTTTAAATATTAATCATTTATAATTTATTTAAAATATTAATAATTGATCATTTAATTGTTAAGATTTTATTTATGATTTAATCATTGGTATTATATAATATTAATATTTTATTATAATTATTTTTTATTTTATTTTATTTTTAGCACTCTTTACTTTATAATTTATTTAAAATATTAATAATTGATCATTTAAATATTAATATTTTATTTATAATTTATATATTATTATGATTACTTATTTTTAAATATTAATAATTCATAATTTAATAATTATATTAATGATAATTGATAATTTAAATATTAATATTTTATTATAACTTAATCATTAATATTTAAAAATATTAATATTTTATTTATAATTTAAATATTATTATGATTATTAACTTTTAAATATTAATAATTTATAATTTATTTAAAATATTAATAATTGATTATATAAATATTAATATGTTATTTATATTTAATTATTAATATTTGAGGATTGTAAATTTCTAAATTTATAAAGGGTAATTTAGTCATAATAATTTTTAAATTTATTGCATTGGATATGGATCGGGAAGATGCAATAGCTCCAGTCCGTACTCCTGCTGCTAATATTAATTTGTTAACTAAGCAGTTACAAAGTTCTGTTTGTAAGCCTTTTTCTACCTTTCTTCGACTCCAAAACCATATCTTTTTTGGTTTGTCATAGGGAGGCATCTGAGGGAGAACTGAAGGGAATATTGGGTTACACTGAAGAAGACTTGGTTTCCACCGACTTGGTTGGTGACAGCAGGTAAAGATAGAAGCACATCTAGTCATCTACGATAACAGTAGCAGTGAAATCATGTGCAGTGTGCCTTGCATCTTTTAGCCATGATTTTGTTGGAAGCACTGATGATATATGGACCCAAGTACATCATTAGCTGATGGTGTGTGTCCATGATGCATATATAAAGGACTGATTGATTATTTCCTTCTACATGTTTGTCATCAGTTGAAAGTCAGCTATGTTGCAATGGCTTTGAAACTTCTGGGTTTAATGTTTTGAGTTGTCTGTTAAATACAATGGACTGCAATAAAGTGATAACGTCTGCTCAATTTTCCAGGTCAAGTATATTCGACGCAAAAGCTGGAATCGCTCTGAATGAAAAGTTTGCCAAGCTTGTCTCGTGGTATGACAATGAGTGGGCCTACAGGTAATTCCATGCAGCAGTTTTACACTTTTTCTTGATTGTTAAGTGCAGACGGCGAACTTTTATATCCGAATTGAACCAATCTGCTGAAAATTTGTCTCCTTCTTCTTTAGCTTGTCAATAAGCCATGTGGCAGTACTCATCATTTTTTTCTATTTTCCATCTGGTTTTTGCAGCTACCGTGTTATTGACCTGATTGTTCATGTGTCAAAAACTAAGTAAGTTGCTTGGCAGCATTGTCTCGGCTACTATATTGTCCGCATGCTTCCCATGTTGTTCCATATCTATGGTGGGGCAATGAGTTAAAAATAAGCCTTGTTTTGAGACAATGGCAATAGCTTTTTCCACTTGGCAGTTGTTTTAGGTTATCGTCTGAGTGAAGCTATATTTTGCTTTCATGTATGTTTTGTTCTCAAGGAAATTTGAATTCTTAAAACTGGCCTTATAATACTTGCTCCTAATATAGTTTGCTTTGCTGGATTTGAATATGAATATGAATATGAGTATATGATCTCTCTTCTTAAGTCCCCTGCATGCTTAGAGACGAACTATTTCGAGTGAATTGTCAGAGTTGAGTTTGGTTTTATTGTTTCTTTATGATTCAAACTAGTTTTATAACTTGACAAATGGGGTTTTGGGTGGCACTGCCACAAGTCATTAACTCCAGAGGATCTCCCCAGAAAAGTTGCATCTGCCCCGAGTCTTGTGGTGATGGTTCATGTCAATGACATAACACACTTTGATCACATTCCTGTCTCTCTTTTTTATTTTCAACAAGACAATACATGTGAAATTTGGTACTTGCACTAAAGTGGGATCACTATTTCCGATTTGTGTGATTCTTAAATTTTAAAATACCATCCATCTTTACAAATGGAAAAAAAAAGAGTGATTACGGGGCCGATCAATGTTGTAGATGGTGTCCCTGTCCCATATTAAAAGCTATCAGTGAATGGATTCCAACAGCTTTTACATCTGTTGGAATAGGACCGGTGATAAAATGAAAGGATTGACAGCCTTCGAATGTTAAAACCATTTGGTCCCCAAGTGGAATACTTTTTGTTGTGGCTCACTTACTCTTCTTATTGATCCACTGCCCACGTTCCTGCTTTTAATTTGCTTTGCCTGCTTATTATGTTTGGTCACAATTATTGAATTCGAAAGCAAAAGAAAAAAAAAAGAATTTAAAAGTTGAAATGAAACATCAATTTGAACGAGGAATCAACATAGATTTCATAATATTGTCCAATAAGATTTCTTTCTTAAAAAAAAAAAAACAAATTGAAGAAATGGCCTGCCCACGGTTATTAATCACCCTGGATATTCCACATCTGCTCATTAACTTGTAAGCTAGGTGGCAGTATAAGTTAAACAGCCCCTTATTTCAAATTCCCCCCAAATTTCGACCTCTCCGCCATTCTCCCCATTTTTTTCAAAAAACGTTACTCTCTCTGTCTGTGTCTCTGTTAAGCAGCTAACCTCTTCCTTGTTGAGCTGTATAACTCTCTCACGACAACCCCCATTTCTCTCTTTTTACTGTTGTTTTTCTTTCTTGGAACGTTTTCGATTTTGTCGATTCAAAATTAAATGCCCCCAAATCATGACCTCTCTAAATCCCTAATAAATTGGCACATTCCAGCACTCCCACATTAATATCCCGCTTCCTCTTTGTTTCTGCACTATCTGCCCTTCCCAATGGCAACTTCAGCGTTCAAGTCAACCACCAAGAGAACTTCCCTCGCCAACTCTACCGACGACTCTTCTTCCTCCAATCGGACCTCCGTCCACCGTCGCGCCAGGAGTCTCAGCAGAATCTCCCGCCGGCTTCCCGGAGCCGACGACTATGAAGAGCCTACTTCCGCTCCGAGGTCCAGAGGAAGGTTCGTCAACACTGTCAGGGGATCGGGCTTCCCGGAGATTAGTCTTGACGATCTCGCCATTGAGCTCTTTGACTCCTCCCTCAGAGGGCGCTCGGCTTCGCGTAATGCTGCCGTCAGTCCCCGTAATGGTGAAGGAGGGAAAGGAGGAGGAGAGAGTGCGACTCAGAGAAGAGGAAGGTCGGTGTCCAGGCAAGGATCCAGGGGTAGTTTTGTAAATAGTTGTGGTGGAGGAAGGTTAACTTCGGACACTGCTAACTCTAGGAGGAGAAGATCGGTCTCAGTTGTTCGGTATCAAATTAGCGATTCTGAGGTAGTATTATCATCATCAGGAGCAGCATCATCACGATTGTTTTTATTCTTATGTGTATGCTCATTATTTAGAAGAACGCATTAGTCATATTAGACTGTTTAGCTGTATAAAGGATTAGAGGTCTAATCTCATTTTAATGACACATTATTGAGAGCCCTGACTTCGCTATCTGTTTGCTTGTTTTGTGGTTGACTTTTGCTTAACTTGGAATCAAACATCAATTTATGTGGACAAGCCAACTAAAACTTTTATCTTGTAAGGCATGCACTTGTAACATAGCCGTAATAGCATTGCTTGGTTGAAGTTTAAATACATTGGCCAAAATGAGAAAAATGTGGGATTATTTGGTAAGTACTTTTGGCTTCCCTTTCAAGTATTCAATAACTTTCAAACTCTTGATGGTATAGTTAGTGTTCCAAATCTGGGAGGTTCAGTTCAGTTCATTCATTGGCATTTATTTTGTGGATTTTAGTGATTAGATGCCAAATCATTTTCCTTTACTTGATAGTAGATTAATCTTTTATCAGGCTAGGTAGTTTTGCATATCATTTGAAGGAAATAAATGCGAAATTTAATTAGTCACATACTATTATTTTCTTGTCCTATATTTAAGATGAAGTATCACTGATAATAGACAATAATGTACTAGTGTACTTGGTCAACTGGAATGGTTTGGTTGGCTTTAATAAAATCTATTGGTTTTTTAATCATACTAGGAATAACATTCAAAATACTAACTTGTTATCATGTACGCATATCTTGTTATCAAAAATGGCAGAGTGATCTAGATCATTCACATAACTCAAGCAATCGTGCTAGTGTGAGGAGTTCCATTGGTGGAAATCAGATATCCTCGACTCATAAGCCAACAGCTTCAAATGATAGACAAGGATTGAGAAGGACTCTGAGCCAAAAGGACTTAAAGTATCATGATGGCTACTCTGTAAGCTTTCTATCTCTTAAAAATTTCATTCAACTTTATTTTGTCACCACTTAGTTAAGTGGGATGTTTATATAAGGATGCAATTTAGTGGTTGGGTTTATCCTCACTGTACCAGAATATCTTTTAGCATCTTTGAAACTCTTTTTTGTCAAATTTGTTTCGTAAGCTTAAATGAAATTTATACATATATGGAACCAGAGCCACTCTTCTGCTTTAACTGATGATGAAGGAAGAGATGCTCTTTCCAGTAAAAATGGGATGGAGAAGACAATACGAGCGGTTTATGCACAGAAAAAGGTTGGTTTTCTTTTATAGAACACTGCAATTTTATATAACCACTAGGAAGATGTTTTGCTAAATCTACCACTTACTTTTGTGTTTCCTACCCATTAGGGGGAGCATCCCACTGGGGATGATATAAATGGTGGGTTGTATGCCGCAATGCGAAAAGAGCTTAGACATGCTGTGGAAGAGATCAAAACTCAACTTGAAAAAGTCTGTATTTCTATGTCCTGTCAACATGCTTAATGCTTTATTCACTCCTGCATGACCAAAATGTGGTGCACATATTTTATCTTCTAAACTTGTTGGATGGTCTTATTGTTTTATGCAGGAAATGGTGAAAACAGAGAAGTCCGGGATAGCAAGTGATGATAGTTTGCAGTCTGACAATTCTGATGTTCTTCAGGCTGTTTCTACAATTAGAAGGATGTGTACAACAAAATTTGAAAAGGTGTAAAGTCATATCATGAGCATTCTGTGGTGCAATACTTACCAATGTTATGTCATGTGATTATGGTTATTGGTATGGCATGTTTATTAAAGTGTCTGAATTAATTAATAAATACTTAAATCCTTTCTCTGTTTTTTCTATGTAGAGAAGTGACTTTGGGTTGCTAGTTGCATGTGGCCTCTTTAGTCTTCAACAAGTTATACAGTGCACTTTTTAGAATCATTTATGTTGTTGAAGATGTATTGATTCCATTCAGTAACTTAATACTGTAGGTTCACGATAATCCTAAACTGATGTTTGTTCCAGTTTTGTACTTTATATGGGGAAACCAGAAATAAGGTTGCATTTAAGTTGCTTTTGATGAAAAAAGATGACTTTCTGTTTCACTTTTTATGCATATAAACAAAGATTTTGGTTAATGCTTAATGAGCAGACGATTGATAATTTATATTAACTATTTACTTAAACCTTTGATGCTATTTATTTCCTTAATTGAAGTTCTGTACCTCATAATGGAATTCGTTAGTGATTGGTTATATTTCTTGATTTGACAGTCAGAGAAGCGTAGACAAGATTTATTAGCTGAGATTCTGTTGGAGGAGAAGCACGGGAGGGAGCTGTCTAAAATTGTTAAAGAATTGCTTCCCGAACCAAATAACTCAAGTGTTGAGAAACCATTGCGAGCCAGAAAGGTACAACGTCCTCTTACCATCTCTACAATAATGCAGGACTTTGTATTGCATGTGGTTATTTTCAAGTCCTCATTAGTTATCTATTAAAAATCCATTATATTCAGATGTCCCTTGATATAATAAAGGTGAATGAAACTTCTTTTGATTGTTTAATGAAAATACAAATTGTTTTGCAGAGGAGCAATGACAGAACTAGGATGTCCAAGCAATTGACTGAGGAAGCTGAAAAATATATCGAAGATTTTATTTCAAATGTTGAAGATACAGATATTTCTTCATTAGATGGAGACAGGAGTGATACTAGTTCAAGTGTAGGAGGAATGACAAGGACACCAACTTTCCAGAGTCCAGCAGTATTTAAGTCTGTGCCCATTGAAATGGATGGGGTAATGCTGCCTTGGTTACAGTGGGAGACTTCTAATGATGCTTCTCCATTATCTTGCAAGAATAAATGCAATCCTTCTCAGGTAATTTGTGACCTGCTAGTTGCTATGTTTGCTTCCTATCACTTGGTGACTTACATTACCCGCTGTTCATGCTTGTATGCTTGTTGGGACCTGGACAACAAATTGAAAGTTTGCTGATTATGCAAATCATCTCTAATCATTCTCTCTCCATCTGTTTTTTTCTATTCACATATTAGGAAGCATCCTCTGCACAAGATATAATCAATCAATTTACCAGCAGCCATGGGAGTTGTAGCCCAGCATTTACCGATTGCCCTTCAGTAAGTCTTGGAGAAGATACAGGAACTAAATTTGGACAACCTGGACGTTACCAAAGCCAATTCTGTTCAAATGGAAACAATACAATGCGGTTTGATGTGGATGATTATCTCAACCTTAAAAGCAACGAAGCTTTACTACATGAAATATGGAGCCAACGACATAGAATTAGTTCAGGTGGTCTTCTGCTTTGTAACCAGATGTTTTTTTAGCTGCAACCTTCTGGGGTGGTGCTATGACATATTCGTCTTAGTCTGATTTAAACTACAGTAATTACCCCGTATATATAATTGTTTAATTTCTAATAATCTTTCAACAAACTTTCAAGATATTATTCTTTTCTTACCCTAATCTGGTCTAGACTGAAAGCGACACGGCAGTTTAAACGAGCTCATTCTAGCCCACACGAAATATCTATCGGGGGAGTCGGTAGCTGTTCCAATATCTCTCGAATTTCATAAACCAAGTAACGAAATAGAGGAAGAAAAAAGAATGGAGAATGGATTGGAAGCGACACAGCAGTTTAAACAAGTATATTCTAGTCCACACCAAATGCCTATCAAGCGAGGGAGTAGATAGTTATTTTAAATTTCTCTAGAATTGGTCATTTTTCGAAATGATGTTTTCATGAACCAAGCAACGAATTAGAGGAAGAAAAAAAATGAAAAATGGAATAGTCATTTTCTCAATTAAACATGTATATATTTATCATTCTTAAAGATAATTCAAGTTGTTTTTTCAATAAAAGAATGAAGTGTAAAGATTGATTACATCATTTTAGGTTAAGAAATGCTTAGAGTGTTTGAAAATAAAATAATACTAATACTAGTTGATGGAGAATCAAGAACATGTAACTTCAGAGGTAGATTCTCATGGTCATGATGAACATGAAATATGGTGTCATCCCAAACTATTAGAGTAATTCCTTTATAAGCTTGAGCATATTGATATTCAGATCCAAATGTGAGCTCTGATTAGATACCTTTGAATGGCAAGCAAAGAGTTTGATTTCACTTGAATTTTCTTGAAGCCTTTATCCTAACTTAACTTTAATGCCCAGTATAAAACCTTTAGTTCTGTTGTTAAGGATAAAAAATATCAATTTTATATGTAAAAGCCTACTATCTAATTGCACTGCCCGAAACCATGCATAGTTGTCCTCTAACACTTCCACCAACATTCAACTTAACACAAAAATGCTTCGGTAATTCCCAAACTATTAAGATTTTCTTTTTCATAATGCCATGATCTCTCCTCAAATTGTCCCAAGCTTCTTTTCATTTGTTTCATATTTGTTGGCAGGTCAAACAAAAGTTGACTTTGGCCTCGTAGTGTATAGCTCATTCACAATATATTTGGATTTATATTCGATGCATTTAGATTATCTTATTAAAAAGGAATTTAAAACTTTAAAATATTTTAAAATAAATATTATTAATTTTTAAAAATTAATAAAAAATATAAATACAAATTTTCTTTCTGTTTGTACTTCCGTCTCACCCAGTATCATTATTTCATTTTCTTCACAGCAAAAAGTCTTTCAACTTCGTCTCACCCAATCTCCTTTTCTTTTCCTCTTCTCTTCTCTTAACAACAATAAATTCAAAACTTGAATTTTAATTTTAATTCCTGAAGAAAATATTTATTTTACTCTTCTTCTTAATTTACACATTTTTTTACTATTTATGATTGTTTATTTGTCATTCTTATTTGATTAACAAAAGAGATTTTTCCGATGCTTAGGTCCTGGCTTAACACCATGCAGCATGGGGTTAATTCTTCTGTGTGTGGCAAGGCTGTCTACTTCAGTGTAGATGGGTTGCTATTACTATTGCTGAACAGATAATGAAGAGGACCAAATAGAGGTATATCTTAATGATTTTAGGGCATAAGGTAAGCTTGGTTCCAGGTAGCATGGAGACAACATTGCTGTTAAGGGAAACTAAGAAGAAGACTGAAACATATATTAAAAATTAAATTAAGAAGAAGAAAATAAATATTATATTCAAGAATTAAAATTAAGAATTTTGAGTTTTGTGACCTATTGTTCTTGGAAGAGAAAAATGGTAGATTGGATGAGAAGGGGTTGGAAAGAGATAATTTTTTTTTTATTTTTTTAAGTTTTTATAAAAAATTGATAATATTTACTTTTAAGTATCTTAAAATTTTAAATTTGTTTTTTTAATGAATAAGTATTTCATAATTTAATAGTATATAAAACTATATATGACATTTGTGCATCAAATATAAATCTTATTCGTTTTGTCATATTTTTTTACAATTTTGTAAAAATAAATTCTCTCTTAAAAATAAGAGTAAAAAAACCAATATTATAATTGTTAATATTTTGAATTAGATAGAGATATTCTTATTTTGATTTATTAACCGAAATTTTATATTTTTCAAAATTGAACTTCAAATTAATGTACTAATTTGTTTGTTATTCCAATTTCAAATTTATGTATCTGTGTTACCTACGAATAACCTTTTAATGAATTAAATTAAATGTTAAATAATGAAATACCTAATAATGGACTTCTAAAATTTTCTCAATTTTTTTTTTTCTAAATGTGGATAGTGACTTTACTCAAGCTTACCTTATCACGATCATATGATAAAAAAATCAACAATCAAATACATTTTTTTAAATTTATACTAATCTTAATCATCTTTTTTCTCTCTCTCTCTGTGTGTTGGATAGTTTGTAATATTTATTGGAAGATAGTTATTCAAGTGTTACTATTTAAGAATAAATATAACTCTTAATGTGTTACAGTACACCTCAAGCCTACTTTCTTCTTTCTAACCATTTTAAAGAGTTGTTTTCTTCTTTTTTTTCTTCTTCTACTAATTTTCTAACAATTTTAAAGAATTGTTTTCAATGGAGTCTTATTCAAATTCAATATTTCAACTCATGAATCAAGAATTCATCAAACTTGACCTATTTAATGAAAGCAATTTCACCCGTCGGATAGATAAGATGGTGTTCTTGCTTACAGCCTTGAAGGTTTATTATGTTCTAGATCCAACTCTTATTGCACTTCCAAAATCGACTGTTGAAGACTCTGATACACAAAAAGTGGAGAGAAAAAAATGTGAAGAAGATAAATTGATATGTCATGGACACATCCTAAATACTTTGACAGAACGTGTATATAATCTTTACTCCAATTTAAAAACTCCAAAAGAAATTTGGACAGCCTTAGAGATTACTTATAAAAACGAAAAAAAAGTATTGAAAATTTTTATTTTTAAAATATTTTGAGTTCAAGATAAGTGACAATCTGCTCATCATGAATCAAGTAAATGATTTACAAGTTTTAGTTTCAAAACTAAAAAAGGTTAAGGTCCCTGATGCGCTACAAATAAATGCAATTCTTTCTAAACTACCTTAATCTCAGAATAATTATAGAATAAAGGTTCTACATTCTATGGAGTTTCTATCAATAGAACAATTCATGACTCAGATGCAAATAGAATGTGAAACACGTGCTCAAGATACATTATTTTAGCCCTCTGATTTGAAGGTGAATCTTGTGAGTCAAAATTCCAAAAATTTTTGAAAAAAATTTTACGAAATTCAAGTCATTTGTACTGAAAGTATCAAGAAAGACCTTTAAAAAAAGATAAAAAAATATAAAATGTTTCCATTGTGAAAAAGAAAAGCCATATGATTAGTCAGTGCAAATCCAATAAGGCAGGAAAGAATTTTGGTTCTGAAAATCCTAAAAAAGCAAACATAATAGAAGAGACTGTCAATGAATTGGTTGCCATGGTGTCTACAATGAATATTGGAATGGTAACATAATTGAAAAGTAAAGATTGGTGGCTAGATCTTGGTGCTACAATTCATGTATGCAATGACAGAAACTTGTTCAAGACACACATAAAAGTTAATAAACTAGAAAATGTTTTGATGGGAAATCATGTTACAACTAGAGTTGAAGGAAAAGGGACTGTTGAATTGAATTTCACTTTTAGATAAAAACTGACGTTATTCAATGTATTTCATGTTCCTAAAATTCGAAAGAATTTAATTTTTGATAGTTTACTTGTAAAGAAAGGTTTTAAAATCGTAATAGAATCTGATAATGTAATAGTATCCAAAGGTGGCCTATTTGTAGGAAGAGGATACTTTAGTATTGATCAAATAAATATGATTTCTGCTTATATTGTTGAGTCTAATTCTTTATTATGGCATGCTAGACTAAGACATTTAAATTTTGGTTTCATGAGATTTGTATCTAAAAATGGTTATATTGCATGCAAACATGAGCACTTAAAGAAATGTGAAATATGTATACAAGCAAAAATAACTAAAAAACCTTTTCGTACTGTAAAAAGAAACTCACAACTATTAAATATTATGCATTTTGATATATATGAATTAAATGAAAAATTAACTAGAGGAGGAAAGAGATATTTTATAACTTTCATGGATGATTATTCTAGATTCACTTATGTCTATTTAATTAAAACAAAAAATGAAGCTTTTCAAAAATTTAAAGAATATAAATCTGTTGTAAAAAACCAAAAAGGTAGAAAAATCAAAACTCTAAGAAGTGATAAAGGAGGAGAATATTTTCCTATATAATTTAATAATTTTTGTGAAGAAAATAGTTTGATACATAACAAAAGAGCTACTTATTCATCACAACAAAATGGATTGGCTGAAAGGAAAAATAAAACTTTGGTTGATATAACAAATGTTATGTTATTGAATGCACATCTATCGCACGACTTATAGGGTGAAGCCTTATTAACAACATGTCATATACTGAACAGAGTTCCTTACAAGAGTATTAAGGTTTCACCTTATAAACTTTGAAATGGAAGAAAACCAAACTTAAAATATAAGAAAACCAAACTTGAAATATCTTAAAGTGTGGGGGTGCTTGGCCTTTTATAAAGTTCTTGAACCATAAATAAGAAAACTTGGACCCAGAGCAATGAAAGGCATCTTTGTTGGTTATGCTTAACATTTTAAAGCATATGAAATTTTAGATTTACAATCAAATGTTATTGTAGAATATAGATACATTGAATTTATTTTCAATAAATCTATGTATAACTCTAATAATAAAGATTGTAAATAAAATGTCTTAATTTTAAGTTGTGACCAAAGTGATATGACTTTTCATAATGCATCTAGTAAAAGAAAAAATGATGATATTCAAATTGAGCCGAGAAAAAGTCAAAGAGCCATAAAAAGAAAGCATTTAGATTCAAATTTTGTTGACTCGCAAGCATAAGCATTCTTTGTGGAAGGAAGAAGAACCAAAATGTGTAAAAAGATACTTATTTTGTT